GCCAATCAGCTATCAAGTATTTTCGCATTTTCCCAAAATTACTTCAATGGAGTCAGGTTAAAAGACTTCTGGCTGGATGTCAAAATGTCTTTAAAAAAAAAAAACCAAGCGAAAGTCTGGTTTCCTTCCAATTTAAGTTATTTTGTTGTAATATAAGGTAAAATATTTATGTACATATCAGATTGCTTTTGTTGGTTCATGTTTCAAAAATAGTCATCTTATTTTCTCTTTTCTGCAGGGTGACTTTAACCATTCACTTTCACTAAATCCCCTTAAAACCAACCTATCATCCAGGGATGAACCAGATAAATTGATGAATAAAGATGATAAGTATAAGTGTGAACAGTCCCCTGAGGTCCATAAATCCCAAATCAGTCCTAACAGATCTACTATGTCCAACTACACACCCGAGGTGCATGTCATTGCAGACTTTATAATGTAAGTCCAGACCCAAACAAAAAAGGTTTTTCTGTTCCTATAGAAATCTGATTCGCATCACATCCACTTTCTTCACAGGAAGTATCCAGAGATCAGATCTGCAGAGGAACGGGAAAAGTACAAGGCTGTTTTTAATGACCAGTATCAAGAGTACAAGGACCTTCACAGAGACATCATCACCACCCTTCAGAAGTTCAGTGAGCTGGATGCTATGGTGGAACATCTTCCCAGAAAAGGGAAAAGCCTGGAGGTAGAACTTGTTTAAATCCCTACTGATTAACCACTTTCACAATAAAAAATTTCTGACAAAAAGTGTAAAGAAGATATCCAGTTTAGACTCGGAAAACTAATCTTGTACCTGTTTACTTAACAGGATCAACAGAGGATTCAAAATATATTAAAAAAATATCAAGAGAAGAGAAATGTAAGTACAAAAGATGAACTATTTTGCTTTTAACGAGAAAGTTTTCCCTAAAACTAACTGAAGAATATGAAGTCAGACGTCTGTCAAAATGGCAGACATGTTAATAAATACACATGGGAGCAGTTTTAGTAAAACACACGCATGTAAACAACTCTTCGCATTTTAGATGTTTTATGAATTTAGGGCCAAAACCACCAGGCCCCAAATAGGTCCCAACTAGGGGTGGGTATTGCCAAAGAAGTCACGACTCGATTCCAATCACGATTCATATGCCACGATGCGATTCTATCACGATGCATCACGATACTTGACATATTGCGATGCATCGCGATGCATTGCG